GAAGGGGGTGGTCTGCGGTGGACAACACTGAGAGAAGGATTCAAGGGTTCTAGTCGCTGACAACAAGGATGGTGGATTTCAGACTAATGTTTCGTTTTGTGTGGTATTTTCATATACTTCTCATTTTAGACTGTTAAAAGTATTCAGACTGGCTGTTAACACGTTTAATGCTTATTATTACTGTGGCACTTTTTAAATGATTTTTGCCTTTTATTTTTTTGATTGCGTGAATGTTTTAATGTATTTTATGTGATTTTGTTGTAAAGCACTTTGGTCGCCTTGAGTGTTGTAAAGGGCTCTATAAATATATGTTATTTATTTTTCATTATTAGACATTTCTACAACATTTCTCGGGCAACGGTGGCTCAGTTGGTAGAGCACTACTTCACGACTCCCACTGATGCCTGCTGTTGATGTGTCCTTGGGCAAGACACTTAACCCCACTTTGCCTGTAGCCCGTGCTGAATAATCAAGGCTCCTGTGGACTCACCACCTGCAGGAGGATCAGTGAGGGGCTGATGCTAAGTATACTGGGTAAAGCTCTGACAGCCACCCCCGACCCAGAAATGGATTAAGGGGAAGAAAATGGATGGATGGAATTCTACTACACATTTTATGTCTAAAGTGCTGCTTCAGACCGAGGTAATTCCTTCTAGAACTTCTTATTTTTACTTTTCAACCTTTGAGATGATTAGACATTAATACCACTCATTTCTTGTCTATATTTTAGCCCTGCTTAGATCTGGGGAATTTTCCTCAGTGGTTTTAGATTCAAGAAGTGTTTTCTTTATTATCAATTCAGTCTGAGGCCGCAGTTTACATTAAAAAAAAACAAGATGTCAAATCATCATTAAATGGCCCTAATCTGTGAAAAGGCATTAATAAAACATCAGACCTCAGTGTGCATTAAAAATAGGGTTAAAGACCTTTGTTCAAGAAAAATAACAAGTTTCGAAGACCCTTATTTCTTCAGGTGTTTTTGTTTTCTGGTTTTGTACTGCACTTTTTCTGAGTTGCCTTTTCCTATGAACTGCGCTATACCAATAAACGTGCCTGGCCTCGTCTCGCCTCTATGCCTGTGCCAATCTACAGTAACGACAGGTCCTCTTTCTGTCGGGGTCGGACAGGGACGAGGTTATGCAAACGATTCACCGGTGAATGTGGCAAAGCTATTGTTGTGTCTAAAATCCATTATTTGGGCGGGAGATCCATAATTGACTGTAAACCAGAAATTCTCCCGCCTCTCTCCAAAAACCCCCAATCTGGACTCACCTACTGCCAGCCTTGACCACCGGCCAGTCCCCGGCTCTCTGAAGTCATTTTCCATGGCAAAGGGGTTGGTGGACTATCTTCCCCCACCACGCGCCAAAGACATTTGTGTGGCCAAATATAGAAAATATGGTCACATCCAAATTCAACAGTTATTGGGAGAAACTGGAAATAAATGAGGAATATTTAGATGTATCAGTATTTTTATTTTTTATTTACAAAAAAACAAGACCGGTGTGAGTGAGAATGTTATGTGCTAACGCTAACGTTACAGCACTGCTTACTCCAGTATGTTTACCATGTTATAGATTGATATTGTTTTGTCAATTTGTATGTAAGAACAAGGTTAAATGTTTAGGATTAGTCTTTGATACAAGCAACGATTGTATTTCAATTGATTTATTCAGGAAAACCTCTTGAGATGCAGCTTCTCATTTTCGAGAGAGTCCTGTGAACATGTTACAGACACAATACACGTAATATAAGACAAAAAAATATATATTTACACATTTAACACACACAGGATAGTTTTGCTCCCTCAGATCCCACTCTACAAGCTACAATCACATTCAGAAAGCATTTACATAATTTCTGTATACAATAATCAGATGCAGTCCATACATACAGCAGCAGGTACAGGGGGGTCTGTTAGACTACTATAGTGGTCTAACAAAAATGAAAGTGGTGATGATCCAGGACACTCTACATTCTACAACATTCATGGACATTAGTCATCTCCCTATGGACCAATACCAATGTGTTCTAGCTACCTGAACATATAGCAAATGTCAAACTTTGTCACTCTCAGACAAAGCAAATGTATTATTTTACCTTGTGGTTGAAGCCATCACTATTCTGCTAAAAACACCTCTGACCCGAGTTGAAGCAGGCATGGTTTTATTAGAAATGAACACACACCCAGATTTGCATAAATGAACAGTGGAACAAAGGACAATGCTTCAAAGACGATCATCCGTATTTACATGTAAGCAGAAACCCTTTGTTACATGGGGTCGGACTTTCTTTGGCAAAGTAGATTAACATAATATATTAACCATGTTCACAGCATTCGTTACTATAAAAACAGATTCAGATTCATTTTATTTGCCATTTGCAGTAAAAAAAAACACATTGGAATACATTAGCAAAAGTCTCCAGTGTGCACAGACAAATACAGACATAAAACAACATAAAAAGTACGGAAATAAAACAAATAAAACAGTAAACAAATGTCACTGTGAAATCGATCGACTAAAACAGTTTCAAAACAAGTGCAAATCATTAAAGTGCTCTGTTCACACTGATAACAGCTTGTAGATAAAAACTGTTAGCGTAACGAGATGTCCTGCATCTCAGAGAGCGATATCTTCTGCCAGAGGGAAGAAGCTGGAACATGGCTTTCCCAGGTTGGCCAGAAGAGTCATTGACAATCCTAAGAGCTTTGTTTAAAAGTCTGGATTTATAAAGAACTTCCAGAACAGGAATCTCACAGCCCACGGTCCTCTTTGCAGAGCGGAGAACCTTGTTTAAAGCTCTCTTTTCTTTATCTGTGATGTTTCCAAACCACACAGACACAGAACCAACAAGTAAACTCTCAATGGTGCAGCGATAAAAGTTACGCAGAATCTTAGAGTTAGTGGTAAATTCTCTTAAGTTTACGCAGAAAGTAGAGACGCTGAAGAGCTTTCTTAACGACTCGGTCAGTGTTTTTTTAATTTCAGGTCGTTAGACAGAGTTAAACCCAGAAACTTGCACTCCTCTACGATCTGCACCTGGGAGTTGTCGATTGCGACTGAAGTCGTAGACCAGTTCACATGTTTTCGATGCGTTTAACTGGAGGTTGTTAGTTTTACTCCACTGAACCACATTTTGTATCTCTGCTCTATAAGCACAAAAAAAACATAAACTTTCTTTGACACATGAGCAAGCAGTTGTAAGGTATCTAGATATTTCTGATTTAACCCTCGAGGCGCCACGGTCGACAAGATGCGGTAGTGTTTAAAACGGCAGATCGTGACAAGGGTCTCGCAATAGGGGCAGTAATGATTTGTACTTTTTTACTATTTCACTGTGAGTTCTGTTCGTGTGTTCATGTCCCAATGTTTGCATGTCTGTCGATAAAAAAAACCCAACATTTCATTAAAACTCTAAAATCCCTGATTCCCACCACCGTATGACATCACAATACACAAATTAGATGGGTCAAATTACAGTAATCCCTACATAAACTTTGGGCCATCCTTAATATTTCTCTAATTTACAGAAAGCCTCTATCTCATAACACATTTTGGTTATCAAGCTATAAGTCAAAATCTAGTGTTTTATGAAAAAACCTCTGGCGTTTAAAGGGTTAAATAAACTAAAGAAGGTTACGGATCTTACGGATGTGGGTAAACTATTCCAAACAAATGGAGTATTGTATAAGAATGATCCACTTCCGACTTCTTTATGGACTCTTTGCACCAGTCCCTCACATCTTTTTCACAGTGTAACAGTATAAAACATGTTCTTACGTCCATTGACCCCACCATAAAGTAACTATAGTCTTATAATAATTCCACATCTGTATTCCCAGCTGTATTCGTCCACCACATTATCCCTGGGCTCCTGCGGCTCTTCCCCAATGCTTGTCCTTGTATTCACTTGTAATCAGAGGCAACAGCTAGTGTGCTGCTGTTATCTCTCTGCTTTGACCTCTGCTGCCTGTAAACAGATAAAACCTCACACTATTTCCTCTCTGCTAAAAGTCACAAACAAACAGCAGAAGTTTCTTGTGGGTGTTTTATGTCAAGACACAAGTGGAATTTTGTTGTGTATCAAATATGATTTTCGTGTTAGTATATCATGGTCATATTTGTTCTGTATGATCTTGGACTCGCACGATCGACGAGTTGCCTGGACTTTCCCCAAACATTGCTGCACCGGGCCTTCACTTTTTGTTAACTTGTGGTTCACTTCCTGTTAGCTTGTGAATTACTTCCAGTTAGCTTGTGGTTTACTTCCTGTTAGCTTGTGGTTTACATCCTGTTAGCTTGTGGTTCGCTTCCTGTGCGGCGGTGGTGGCCTGGCCTTTAGTTATGTCCTACAGCAGCGGTGGTCACAGTGCTTCAAAGAGTGATTACTTATAGTTACTCTTTACTTCTCCCCAAAAGTATTGTGTTAGTAACTGTATTACCGAGGGACAAGTGCAGCTTGTTTCCAGACAAAGGATTACTTTACCGCCACAGGCTCAAATATACAGACTATACATCCATGAAACTATCAAAGATATTATATTCAATAGAGGACGACCATCAATAAAACAAAACAGAACAGTAAATACAGTTTAAAGATGTAGGGGACCTTTTGTGGGAGTCAGGTTGGTGTATAGAAAGTGTCCTGGATCCAGGAGGTCATGAAACCGTTGTCGGCATCTTTAGATTGAAAAACTCTTTGTGAAAGAGAAGCTGACAGTCAACACGGTGCTCAGACCTTAACACACTCTGCAGAAAGTGATATTTCTTGACCATTTTATTTTAAAAATACATACTGTATTTTTGAATATATGTCACTTATTATTATTAAATATTATATTATTATAATGCCACATCATTCTAATAATATTTTGTCCTATTATGTTGAAGCATTAGCCACTTTAACAGCTCTAACTGCATGTGACCACTGCTCTCTCATGTAACATGGACATTTTTCAAATGTTATTTCTGAGGCTTTTCAGGCGTGAGCTGGAGCTGATGGACAGGTACAGGCAGTTCCTCTCTTCAGTTATTGTATGTGCTTCTCCTGTCCTCTCAGTATTGCCTCTGACCTCTGCTGCCACATCACCATATGAAAGAGCACAGATCTCATATGTGGCAGGAGCAGCGTCTGTAGGGACTCTGAGTCTTGTTGATTTCATGAATATTGAATCATTCTTATCAGAAATCTTCTACATAGCCATATCATTTTCCTGTTATATCTGGAATGACGTCATTATCACTTGAGATGGAGGTAATTCATATTTGTGATGTGAATGTGTGGAGGAAGCTGCAGTGAAATCCCTCTTGCATGACTCAAGCACAGGCCGCTCTGTTCCCGCCTCCTCCGTGAAAGAGGCTCAGGCTTTTGGAAGAACAGGGATTTTTTCATCAGTCATTGGTAAATCCAAACTCAGTCGTGTTGTGAATGTAAGTGATCAAAACTGTTTTCATAATGAATAATTTATCATCTATTTGAATTGGTGCATTATGAGTATTGCATATACACCACAGGTTTGAAAATGTTTTAACAAAGATCAAGATCAAGCTTTGCAGGGTTTGAACCCCCGGTGACTGAGGACACAGGTCTCTCTGGACTGAAGGTGAAAGTACAGTACCAACCGTGATCTTTTCAGGGGTCTTTACAAAGTTACAATACCTTTTTTCTTGCGCTGTAATAGAATTAGGGGGTGTTGAAAAAAATAATCCTTTTTATGTGAAAGACAAAGTGGCAAACAATAAAGTGAAAGAAAATAACATATTTACTTTTTGTAAAGAAAATTGACAACTGTTACTTGCAAAAGTACTCAGCCCCCCTGAGGGTATGTATCTTGGGACCATTTTCTTTCGCTGTAGCAAAAAATGTCAGGTGTTTTTTATGCTTTTCTACCGAAATATTCTCTCATGTTTCAATATATATGAACAAAATTACTATTACTACTTTTATTAATGTAATTGATCAATCTGTTTTGGTCCCAGAAAAAATTGTGCAATGGTTATATTTAAGACGCTGCGTTCCCGTGGCCGTCGTAAAGCAGACTGTCCTTCAAAATAACAATAAATTTGGTGGTTAGTTTAGGGTCGTTATAGGACCACATGGGTCTTAAAGATCAGACGGAGCAGATGGTTGAACTGAAGCTCTGCGATCCTGATGTTTCCCCCTGGACACAGCTCTGCAGCAGAAAACAACTCATATTCTCAAATGTTAATACATGTAACAATAGCATTTTTTTCTGGGACCAAAAAGAGATCAATCAAACTCATAAAAAAGACATTTGGAGCACTTTTGTTTAAATAAATCAGAATATGGAAATATAAGTTCAGTTTAAAACTAAGAAATGTAATTTAAACGTTCATCCGCAAAGAAAATTGTAAAAATATGTAAGAATTCTACAGTTTCAGAGCCCAAATTGTGGCATTGTTATCGTTTTGGAGGTGAACCATCGTGTTCTGGGAGGATGGATTGCAACGGCACATCTAAGAATGACATAATTTTCCATTTGCAAAACAGTTCAAGTCCTACTCACGTCTTTTTCTTGTCTCTGTCCTCATTGTCATTTATTGAGCGCAGCAGTTTTAGGTATTTTTGAAAAGAAAACTACCTATTCTTCCCCATCTATTCACTGTGTCCACGCCCCCTTTATTATAACCAAAATCACACATATTTAACAATTCAACCCAGTGAACCACATCTGAGCCTGTACTCCTCACTGTTCTGCTCCACAACACAAGCCTACACCTTCCTCCCCTTCTCATTTGTGTTTTCATTGTTCCTAAAAAGCCTCCTCTCCGCTCCCTCACCCACATGCAGCGCCTACGTTCACCAAGCTTGTCCTCTTCCGTCCGCCGTCGGTCCGGGTTGCCACGCTGACTAATGAGCTGGTGTGACAGAGCTGGCACTAAGTGAGACGGAGAGGCGGCGGAAGGGAAAAGAGAAGGACACCTGAATCTGTCATTGATGGAATTGAGGGTCACGGGGGGTTCAGTGCTCCCACCGACACTTGTAGGCACATGCAGCAGCCCCCCTCCTCCACACCTGCCATGTCCCACCAATCACTGACAAGCATTTACAGAAGGAGAAGGTCACACCGCAGACTCAAAGTGACCTCTCGGTGTTGTGTGGTACTGTTTATTTACCCGAGCTTGCACTGGCGTCTGAGCTGTTCTGTCTATGTTGAGCTTGTTGAGCTGCGGACATAGATATAGAGTCAACGGAAAGCACCGCTGTCAACATTATACCTGCTTTTTCATGTCAAACCTTATAGACATCGTTTTATGTTTTGGCAACCATATAGCCTCGTTTCCACCAGCACTACTTGGTTCTACTCTACTCTATCCTGATTGGGAGAGTTTCCACCGGCCCTGTACAATAGACACCATTTTATACTTGCTCCCTATAATGCTAAGTCAGGGGTTTTCATACTTAAATCTTGCTTTTTCATCATGCTAAAGTAGGGATTTTAGACTTATTTACGATTTATGCTAAAGATAGCGATTTTACACTGCTTTTTTATACAAGAGTTAGAGATTCTATAGAGTTATTGTTCATTGATCTTGTGCTGTGTGTTCCTCTTTCCAACTGTTCTGTAACTTGTGTTGCAACACTGACAATTCCCTATTGTGTGACAAATAAATAATCTCTAAATCTTACCAGTACCAGGTATATTTTTAGAGCTTGCTTGGTAGAGGCCGAGCTGAAACTAAAGTGTTCTAACTGACAGTGAATGGCCTGAGTGCTGCTGGAAGCCATGGTTACCAAGGAATTTCCCTGGATAATGGAGCTTCGCGAAGGTTCACTCTGGTAGACTGATTGCCAAAGCTATCCCCTCCAAGTCTGCCTCTCATCCTCGGCCTATCGCACAGCAAACGCCCATTCCCAGCCAACCTATGCAGGCAAGCAGCTTAAAAGCGGAGACTCCATCTTCACGGCCTTCTCAAGCCTCGCAAAGAGTCGTTCTGGAGGAATCGCTTTCGTCTACTCACGCTTACTCGTGCGTGTCCCTGCTGTCCTCTGTCTTGCTGCGTGTGGTCTGCTCCTCCTCCGCGTCGCTGCTCCTGCTGCGGGTCTCGTGCTGTGGTCCGTGGGTCTTTGCCGCTCTCCTCTTTTGCGGGCTCTTTCTGCGGGTTCGCCGCTGCTCGTCTCGTCGCGGCCTGCGCTGCATACGGCCGGTCTGGCCCGGTGTGGTGGGAGCTGTGCGCATCCCTGCCTCCTCGTGCCGGTACGGCATGGTACTGTTGTCTTTCCCTTGTCTTCTGGCGTTTGTGGGTAAGTATGCTGACCTGCGGACGGTTTATTCCCCTCGCATTGTACTACAGGCTCAGTTGGCCCCGCGCATCGGTGTGCAAGCTCAGTTTAAGTCCCTCACATTGGACTGCAAGCTCTCAGTTTAAATTCCTCGCATTGGACTGCAGGCTCTCAGTTTAAATTCCTCGCATTGGACTACAGGCTCTCAGTTTAAGTCCCTCACATTGGACTGCAGGCTCTCAGTTTAAATTCCTCGCATTGGACTGCAGGCTCTCAGTTTAAATCCCTCACGTTGGACTGCAGGTTCTCAGTTTAAATCCCTCACGTTGGACTGCAGGTTCTCAGTTTAAATTCCTCGCATTGGACTGCAGGCTCTCAGTTTAAATTCCTCGCATTGGACTGCAGGCTCTCAGTTTAAATCCCTCGCATTGGACTGCAGGCTCTCAGTTTAAATCCCTCACGTTGGACTGCATGCTCTCAGTTAAATCCGTCACATTGGACTGCAAGCTCTCAGTCTAAATCCCTCACATTGGACTGCAGGCTCTTTAAATCCCTCACTTGGACTACAAGCTGTTTAAATCCCTCACTCTGGACTGTGGCTCTCAGTTTAAATCCCTCGCTTTGGACTGCGGCTCTCAGTTTAAATCCCTCGCTTCGGACTGCGGCTCTCAGGTTATATCCCTCACATTGGACTACAAGCTCTTGGTTTGAATCCCTCACTTGGACTGCAGGTTCTCAGTCTACATCCCTCACATTGGTCTGCAAACTCTCAGTTTAAATCCTTCACATTGGACTGCAAGCTCTCTTTAAAATCCCTCACTTCGGACTACAAGCTCTGTTTAAATCCCTCTTTGGACTGCAAGCTCTCAGTTTATATCCCTCACTTTGTACTACAAGCTCTGTTTAAATCCCTCACTTTGGACTGCAGCCTCTGTTTTAATCCCTCGTACTGGACTGCAGGCTCTCAGTTTAAATCCCTCACTTTGGACTACAAGCTCTATTTTAATCACTCACTTTGGACTGCAGGCTCTGTTTTAATCCCTCGCATTGGACTGCAGTCTCTCAGTTTGGTCCCTCACATCGTTCTGCTGGCTGTTTGTTTTAATCCCGTTCGTTGGACTGCTGGCTGGCTGTTGACCCAGCGCACCGGGCTGCAGGCTGGCTGTTTTGACCCCATGCTCTGGACTGCAGGCGGGCTGCTGATGCCCCGAGCGCTGGTTGCATCGTTTCTGGGCTGATCTCGGAGAACGTGATAAAGCACGGAGTGGTGCAATGTTTCCCCTTAGTACTGGCGCAGACCGTCCCGCACATCATCAACGGTCTGCGTTTCGGGGTCCACTGGAAGATCTCGTGCTCCTGGTCACATAAGGGACTGCGCTGACTCTGGTTCGTCTTGCTCGGAGAACGTGGTCTCAACTTTTGTTCCGACTGTGGGGGGGGTCTCTGTAGACCGGGCTCGCAACGTGGCCTCTCCCGCAAAGCGGTACCGTGGACCTCTTTGGCGTGGCAATGATAACATTTCGCGTTTGATGGGTCCTTCAAGAAACATGCAAGGGCGCGAATGAGGAAACGATCCTCGAGCTGCTGGTCATTGACGCTGCAGTTCCCAAAAAAATAAACAAAAACAAAAGAGATGCTGGGCGGAATCTGGTCTGTTCATGCCGCGGGTCGACGTGGCTGCATTTCATACGCTGCAACAGTTTTTGTCTTGTAGGTGCCGTTGGTCCATGTGAGGCGGGCCTTCCGTCGAAGCTAGTGTCTCCTGATGTCCTAGCCGTGCTGTCCTTGGAGCCTGGTCCCTTCGTCGCTCCGTGCTGTGGGGCCCGTCCCGGCTCCCGTGGGGCTTTCATCCGCGCCTTGCTCAGCGCCCGCCTCTCGGCCCCGGTCTTCTTCCCCAGGCTCGCCCACGCGCTCCTACTCCATCCCGATTGGGCGTTCATCATCTTCCTCCTGACGTCGGCGTCCCTCGCATCCCTCGACCTGCTGTCGGCTTTCCACAATCCCCGCTGGGCCACACTGTTTCTGGCGCGGGCGGTGTCCGGGCCCCGTCAATGTCGAAGCGCCAGCTGCTCTCCCTGCTCGGGCACCTCAATCGTGCCGTCCGGTTTGTTCCCCAGGGCCGTTCTTTTGTTTCCAGGCTCCTCTCCCTCGCTGGTTTCGGCCCCTCCCACCTCGACGCTGTCTTCCCCGGACGCCGCCCTGGCCATATTCTAGTCCCGCCTGCTGGGCCGCCGGGTCGGCGTCTCTTTCTGCGGTGACGTCGTCCGTTCCTCCGTTGCCCTGCGCTTCTTCGCGGCCGCTGCCTCGTCCTTGGGTTTTGGGGGGTCTACCAGGACAAGTGACTCACCGGGCTGTGGCCCAAAGAATTTTCCTAGGAACCTCTCCTCTGCCCTCCACAAAGGTCCAGTAGTCGTGGCCCGTGCGCCGGGAGTCCCATGTTGCAGAGGAAAAGGATCTCTGTGATGTCAACAAGCTGGACGTCGTAGAAATCCTAAATTAAGGTCCTTCTTCCTCTACCCAAGATTCCTTCTCAGACAAATCACACGGCTCTCAGTCTTAAATATCTCCACCACTGCACGACACGTCCCTGGTTACCTTAACTGCATACTGACTGTCTCTCACTTTAAATTCCAGGAATTCCAGCGCCTAGGCTACATGATGCCATGCGAGACCCCCGCCATGGAGTTCCTTGCCTTGGACTAGTCCCACCTTCTCTTCGTCTTTTCTTCGTACACGAAAATGTTTCTTTCGCATTCTACGCTCATAACATTCAGCTTCGCCGGAAAGTCTACTCCCACTTCTACTACTCACACAACATTCCTTTACCTTGCCTGCCGTTCACACAATCAGTGCTTCATAGTTCACCGTGCAGACAATATCCTTCAATACCTCGTATACCTACACTGCTTGCTGGGACCCAATCTCAGACCCGCTGCTACAACCCTGTTCTCTCCTCTCTATTCTCAGAGCCGTCACTCAAACTCCTCGTCAAAGGCACCCACAACTGCTACTACGTAATCTGTCTCCCAATCTCTACACATCTCACTCCCTCCGGACAGGCGCTGCTACGTGTATGGCGTCGCTGGGTTTCTCCTTCTGCCCTCCACAGCTTGTCGTATACTTCAGGCCAGACACTACGACTGTAGAGGCAGCCCAGCGCTCCTTGGCATCCCTGTAAGCCCTTGCAAATCCATCCTCGTAAGCACTCGCAAAAATTCCTGGTGGTGGCAGCAGCTGTGCCTTTATTAATAGTGTTGCCTTTATTAATAGTGTTGCCTTTATTAATAGCGTTGCCTTTATTTATAGCGTTGCCTTTATTTATAGCGTTGCCTTTATTTATAGTGTTGCCTTTATTAATAGTGTTGCCTTTATTTATAGCGTTGCCTTTATTAATAGTGTTGCCTTTATTTATAGCGTTGCCTTTATTAATAGTGTTGCCTTTATTAATAACGTTGCCTTTATTTATAGCGTTGCCTTTATTAATAGTGTTGCCTTTATTTATAGCGTTGCCTCACTAATCTAATTCTCATCCTCACGCTCGAATAATTCGTCCTGCCAAACCCAGAACAAACTCACAGCCTTTTGGGGGATCGTGCGCGCACTAAGCAGGAGCCTCGCTGGCCCTAATTGCCGCACGGGGGCCTAGGACGCCAAACTACCTATCAATAAAAACATTCAAACTGCATTTTGTCTTCTGAGTCTCTCCAGATTTAACTGGTTTTGTGTGGGTAGGCTGCTAGGATATGGTACCGGATACTGAAGCTTAATGGAAATACAACCAGGTGGCGCAGAGCCGAGGCAAATAGAGAAGAGTAGAGCCCAGGTTGCTAATTCCACACACCTCACGTCGTCACTGTGCCACATCTACGCTCTCGGCTCATGCAGAAACCCACCTCCTCCACATCACCAGCTCAACAGTGGGACATCACACTTTTATTTAATCATTACCAGGGTTTAGACCACTTTTATTTCTCACTACACTTTATCCAATTGTGTATCATGTTCATTATGCGTTTGCCGGGTGGAATCTAGCAGTACATAATTAAAATACCAGTACATCTTGTCTAAATTTTTCCAGAATTTTAATTACATTTACTATTAAGGCTCAAGTACCTCACACGCAACAAATCAATGCAATGACAATAAAGGGTCACATTTCTCACCTCAAATATTGTTAAAACTGACATTGATGCCTTATTTATGGAATTATTGATCAGAACTGTCATGTTGGACGTTCTGTTGATCCCAGAGTGACTCCACTTTCGCCACTATACCGGCCGTTTTTTCCTCCTCAGTGTTAAAAATAGTCCTCACTCACTTTCAAGAGTCATGCCAAGCCGTGAAAAGCTCCTATGTGCCCGTTTACTCGCATCGCCCTGTCTGACTAAAAACACTCCCTGTCCTAGAGTCAAATAGTGACTTTGGGAGCCAAGTTAAGATTAGTTAGTTTGCTGTTTTTCATGTAGCGTAATGAATATTAGACTGTTACTAATTTGTTCTTTCATTTGTAATAAATGAGCAATAACTTATTCGTTTACGTATTCAATATTTGACCTTTTTGGATCCTTACATTTTTACGCTACTGTCACTTTAAGAGAGAGAGGTTTTGCTTTGTTTCCAATCCAATCCAATCCACTTTATTTATAAAGCACATTTCATAAACACAGTTTCCAAAGTGCTGCACAATAAAATCAAAAATAGAGTAAAACAGTAAAATACAAAATCAAAATCAAATAAAAATAAAAACGTGTGTGCAAATATGTATGAATATAAAAGGAACAATAAAAATATAAAATAAAATGAAAATAAAAGGACCATACAACTCACGCAGTGTTGTTTACAGATGTATGGACGAGCAAGCTTTTTAGGAGATGTTTCTTACCTTGGTTATTATATTTACTGACAACTCGGCAAATGTCATTTCGTGTACAAGAGAGTAGAACAGAGGTTTTGATTCTTCCAAGAGTATAGTGAGTCACAAGTCGTATGCATGTTGGGCTCTCTTTCTGGCAATCATAAATCTAGGTCCCCCTTTCAGAACATGGACGGATGAATGCCATTTTCTTCAGCGGGATGTGTGTCATTGTTGTTCTGAAATACACCTTGATAGATTGATTCAAGGCTCTTGTATTCTCTATTTATACTACTACTGCTATTCCAGACACTTCTATTATTGATCCACAGAGGAAATGACTCTCTCACAGTCGCTCAGGTAACTCAAGCAAACGCCGATTTAGGATAATGGTTACAACAAACAGCATATTTGACAGAGCCTCCCTCGTTTCTCTCGCTGTCGTATTGTGATGACAGTTTTCAGAGTAGTCACACATCATAACCAGCCACAGCCAATACACGGACGTGGAGGGCCTTTCAGATGCAGAGACGCCCTTCTGACGCCATGCTGTGCTTCCTGAAGGTCCCTGCTGCCCTGTCACACCCTTTTGCCTCCTACATATTATGGCCATTGTCTTGTCTGCTCACACCCCATGCAAGACACACCATAGGGGGTGGTGCCGGCGCTTCCTGTGTGGAGCAGCCTGTGGCCCCCTCCAATCTGTTGTGGGCGGGACTGACTTTCTTGTTGCTCTGTATACACGAGACTGGGGGCTCGGCCCCCAGAGCTGGATATGCGACCGCTTGGTATGTGTCTGGCTCTCCACACGCGTGTGATTCCATTAAACTTACGCTTTTGACTATGACAAACATCTTTGAGTTTTTCTACTGCATTGGGGTGTTTTATTCCTCCACAATTTGGCGTTTGCTGACATGTCTTGGCATAGACACTTTTGGCGAGGACGAGCGGCTCTGTTTGGCCTACCTGGACGCACCAGCCTCTGCTCTATTTGGAGACAAAGGAGAGGAGAGCATGCTCGTCCTGCGCACGGAAGGAGTTCTTTTTGCCACACAAGACCAAAAGAACCTAATTGGGTGAGTTTGTTTTGTCAGTTTAGTTTGAGCTTAAACAGACAAACACTTAACAAAGAAAACACATGGACAGAGGACAAAGGACCACATGGCCACAAAATGGCCGCCCTACACAATGCTTGCAAATTTAACTAATCTGGTGAGTTTGTCTCTTCAACTGCGTAAAGGAGCCCAGGGCAGCGCTTAAGTGTACACGGGGATTTGTTTATTTATGTATTTTTGGGGTATTTCATTCACTGCCACAGCATACACTGTGCGGGATTTTTTTGGGGTCTTTTTGTTCTAGATTGAAGCTAGCGGCTGCGCGTCAGTATCGTCCTGTAGACGACCCTGATTTCTCCAAGTGTCTTCAGCCAGATCCGCTCCATTTCAAGAACGCACGCTCGCTGGTTGAACCAGCGTGGGGGGGAATGGAGCGCCCCAAAGTGGGTAGGAGCAGGGAAGACACTGAGCGGGTTAGGCCTATTATTCTTACAAGGAAATGGGTAAAAATTCAATCTAGAAGATGCAAGCTATGCTATATGTCTCCGAATCATTTACGCATCTTGCGTGATAAACTTAGAAGAAGAAGGGAAGAAAAAAAAAAAAAAAATATACTTGGTTTTAAGAATATCACGGCTAAAGAGGTTAGAGAAAGAAATATGTAAAAACAATAGCTTCTCCGCTCTTCACCGAAGCGGAGAAACACACACACACACACACACACACACACACACATCCCCCACCCTACCCCCCCCTTTCCCCCTACTAACAATGAGTGTGCACCCAAACAAGGCGTTGGGCTTTTAAAAAAATGAGCAGACTACTTTTCCCTCTTTTTCCTATTTCCCTCAGGTCTGTTGGCGTTTTCCTCTGCGCCCTGCTCTCTGCCCCAAAGCCCCACGCCCCAACCACAGGCGGCGCTAGCACCAGCTGAGACCCCGCGAGAAGTGGGACCAAACCCGGGAGCAGAAGAAGAAGTGGCGGAAGCAGAAACATGCTCAGGAAACCGCTGAAGAAAAAGCGGGGAAGCTAATATGTGAGACACCGACCACTGCTTTGGAGGCCAGAGACAAACTGCTCTAAATCCCGTGACTGCTCTCCACGGAGGAGGCAGCGTGATTATATCAAATGCCCGTGGAAAGTTGTTCCCCCACCGCAAACAGAAGAAGCCATTGAGCACAGGCTGCCCCCTGGTCTCTCCAAGATGTACAGGATGGACCAAAAGTTGTCTCTTGGATTTTTAAATCTGTAGATGCTGTCTGGGCCTGCTGCGGACTTTGAAAGACTTCTACAGCCCGGCTTGAAAGACTGTGTGCTCGATATGCGTCGAAGGTCTGTACCGGAGGAGGCGTTAAAGGCAGACACACGGGGACAGAGGACGGCAAGGCAGGGCACGGAGGAAACACAAGCCACGGACCAAACCAACACATTCGTCCAAAGCGACCGCTCATGTAAGTTTTTAAACAAATTGCAATTGGCACTCGTTAGAGATAATTCATGCTGCATTCCCGTATATATATATACGCTAACAATCTGTGGTGTAAAAGTTAAAATTCTGGATGATTATTGGTCCGTTCTAAAGTGAGCGGTCGTTTTACAAAACACAGGGCTTCAGTTAGGGATGGGGAATTAATCGATTTTGATCATTGGTTCGAGGTTTACATTTGGGGTGATTTATTTTCTTTTAAAAATCCGATTTAACTACGTGCTAACCGCGGGTCTGTGGTGTTGAGCAGCCATTTCGAAGCTAACCTAGTGCTAACAGTGTCCCTCTGGCCTGATGCTGATGCTCACAGTTGGTGCTGTTGCTATAACACTTCAAACGTTCAAGAATCAGAGTTTATTTAAATCGCCAGAGCACACACTCGTGTCCCACTGAGCCGCTGCACTTTGGGGAAGACACGTCTCACACAATGCTCTCATTGCTCTGATACAGACAACGTGTTCCCCGCTAGCTGTTAGCTACATTAGCTGCTACATTAGCCGTTAGCCACAGCATCAGAATGTAAACAGGAAGCTCGCACAATGCGGAAGCCACTGAAGCTAGCATTAGCGCCACCAGCTGGACCGAGCGTGGTACTACAGGGACAGTTGAAAGAACAAGCATGTACCCGAGGAGGCTTTTTTTTTGAACAGAGTGTCCTTTAGAACATTTCTATTTCGAGTCATCAGTTTTTAAAATTGTGATATTTCATGTACATAATGCATGTGCTTAATAGGATTGATAGATTTGCGAAGCACCTCCTTGTGTGATTTAAGTTATTTGAAAGGTGCATAGGGTCATTGTAAGTGAAGTTATTATATACCTTTAAGCTACATTTTCGTAACAAGAGCTCATTAGAGATATAGGGGACACAACCATTTGTGATAAGCCCAAGTACCACGTGGTAAACACTAAAAGTTGGAAATGGATTTTTTTTTTTTTTAGGAACTCTGAAAGTTGCAACAATAGAATTAGCTCATGAGAGAATTGTAATTGGACATGGAAAATATAACAAAGTTAAAATCACAGGCCTTTTGTGTGTTACATGTTTGTGTTACATGTTTGTGTGTTATATGTTTTGTGTACGTTATGTGTTTGTGTGTCATGTCAAAGTACACTACGTGACCTTAACAAACCCTGGACCAATACTAACGTGGGAACCGGCCTGTGATGTGACTGGGATGTGAGTGTGATGTGTGAAATGAGGAATGCTGAACGGAGAATGGAATTACAAATGTGTCTGTAATGCGTTACTGTGATCATGGAATAATTATTTTTGTCAACAGCATACGGTGTAAGTCAAAGATAATAAGCTTTATTGAACAGGTGTACAAGTGAGAGTACTCTGGGATGAGTACTCTGAGGAAAGTACTCTGCGGAAAGTACTCGGAGATGAAATATGAAGATATTGGAAGTTCCTCCCTGTGCTGTTTGTCCTGACAGCGACACAGTCCAACCGCAGTGAGCTGTCGTTGGCTGAAGGACAACTTGGTTTGTAAACTCACATTTAGGGGAGTATAAAATTAGAAATATACATTTTGTTGTTCTGTATTTGGCTACAGCCTCCGCCCTGATGTCAAACACCGTCTGTCAATGCAGTTATGTTTTGCCCAATTGGAAAAAAGATTGACAAGCGAAAGTGGGCATTTTTTGTGTTTTTTGTGTTCTAATATTTCTTTTTCAGATGAGAGATAAACTACCCCTGCTTTAGGGATGAAAGTAGTATGGACCATGAGGAAATGAGCATCTACCTGGGCACCAAAGCCCACAATATGAATTGAGGACGATCCGGGACAAAGCAACTGGAGATGAACGGAACAGTTGGTACTTTTGCAGTCTCACGGAGGGCCACAGACCCACTGCTTACTTCGATGCCGTGGCAGCAGGATTGCCTCGCTGCCTGCGGGCTGTGGCTGCCGCTGAGAAAGCGGCCCTAGCATCACGTGACCTTGTGGGATACACTGAATTAACTTTGCTTGTGCCCCATGCTGTGTCCCTGATCCTGCTAGAGCAGAGGGCCTCTCGCCTTTCTGCGGCTCGTTGGCCGGGGTACAAAGGGGAGACGCTGCTGTATCGCCACAAGAGAACAGAGATGCACTCCCAGGCCAGACCTGAAAGAGGCGCCTCTGACTAATCCTGACTTGATTTTTCTTTATACAGACGGAGCCCGCGTCACGTGACAACACTGGGAAGAACCGAGTCGGCTATGCTGTGTGTTCTGATTTTGATACTATAGACTGGTTGAACGGCTGCTGACAGCTGTAATGGTGCCCTTAGAGATCGCTGCATGCAAATGCCACTGAGGGCCACAATAATGCCACTGATCCCATCTCTGCAGGGAATCGGCGCGCGGACAAGGCAGCGGCATACGCACCTCGACACACACACACACTACCTCACTGAAGACGTTGATATTTTCTCCTCTGTCAGCGATGCAGGCACTGGATACTTCAGCAGAGACGCTGCTGTGAGAGGGGAATGGGGCTCGACGACGGCATGGTGTGTGTGGCTGGGACCAGACAGCAAACCGTGCCTACCACGGCATTTCTTCAGACAGTTTGCAATTTTAGCACATGGTCGAGACCAGGCCTCGAAAGGAGGGATGATGTGTGAATTAATCACACAATGGGGAAATTTCAGTTTGATGCACACACATACACATCAGATCGATATCACTTCGTCAATGTGAATCAGGACTCGTCGCCTTATTCTGGAGTGGAATTCGGTGTGCCGCAGGGTTCGGTACTCGGACCGATTCTTTTTACTCTCTACATGTTGCCACTGGGAAACATTATTAAAAAGCATGGAATTAATTTCCACTGCTATGCAGATGACACACAGCTTTATCTGTCGATGAAGCCTAATCAGACAGATCAGCTAGAAAAGCTCAGTGCCTGCATAAAGGACCTTAAAATGTGGATGACTCTTAACTTCCTACTTCTCAACCCGGAGAAGACAGAAGTGATCCTACTCGGTCCGAAGCGCCTGCGTGACTCCCTCACTAACCAGATGGTTACTCTCGATAATGTCAGTATAATACCCAGTAACACTGTGAGGAATCTTGGAGTCATTTTTGACCAAGAACTCTCCTTCAAGGCTTATATAAGCCAAGCAACTAAAACGGCGTACTTCCACTTACGGAACATCGCTAAAATTAGGAATTTCCTTCCTAAAAGTGACGCGGAAAAACTCATTCACGCGTTTGTCACCTCAAGGCTCGACTACTGTAACGCTTTACTGGCAGCGTGCCCTAAAGCCTCTTTGAAGAGCTTCCAGCTCGTTCAGAATACAGCAGCTAGGATCTTAACAGGTACCAAAAGGAGGGAGCACATAACTCCGGTGTTAAAATCACTCCACTGGCTCCCTGTGGAGTACAGAATAAAGTTTAAAATCCTACTCTTAACATATAAAGCCATAAATGGCTTGGCTCCTTCTTATCTCCAAGACACGTTAGTGTCGTATCAACCAAGTCGAGCGTTGCGCTCACAAAACGCCAGACGTCTGGTGGTCCCTAAGGTCTCAAGGGTCACTGTTGGTGGCAGAGCATTTAGCTACCAAGCTCCTTTACTGTGGAATCAGCTTCCCATTTATGTTAAGGAAGCAGATACGGTCTCCACATTCAAGGCCAGGCTTAAAGCACTTTACTTTAATTTAGCATATAATTAGGTAATATATAATATGTAGTGTATATATTATATATATATGCTGTATTATGTTATATATTATGTTATATATTATTCAATAATGTATTGTGTTATGTTGTATATTATGTTATATATTATGCTGTATGTTATTCTTTATTCAAGGCTAGGTTTAAAACAGTCCTCTTTAGTTTAGTATATGGCTAGGAAGGTAAGACTCGGAGAAGGTTAAACTCCTCAGAGTGTTAGTCAAGCTGCATAGGGAGTCAGTTTGCTGGGAGAAGTATGGTAACTTGAGCACTATCCTCTCCTCCTTCCTACTTTATCTGTTTAGCATTTTTAGGATTCTGACTGTAGTTTGTTCATTGCTATTCACCCGTTGTCCCATTGTCTGTTTCATGGTACGATGACGGGATCTCTGAGCCTGGCCTCTTCCATCTACACCTGCGGACTGCCCCGCCCGATCCGCCTGGGAGTGCTTCGGTCCTGCACCGGACCTGTCCACGTTCAGCGGCCACTGGTCCACGTTCTGTAGCTAGCTTAGGTCCTAGATCATTAGTCTGTCCGTCCGGAGGAGCGGATCCCTTTCTCATATGGGTCTCCCTCCCTGTGGGTTTCCCTAGTTCTCCTCCAAGGTTTCTCACTTTTTCCCACTGGGTTTTTTAAGAGTTTTTCCTTGTCGATGCAGGAGGGTCTTGTTGGACAGTTAGTGTCCAACAGAAAGGATTGGTGATGATCAGGACACTTTAGCATTCTACAACATGTATGGACATTTTCTTCTGTGTGTGCTTTATACTGTATTCTCCATGTGTTTTAACTGTTGATTCTCTGACCTGTGTTGGTGATTTCAATGGTTTTGTTAAGTCCTCTGAGATGACTTCTGTTGTGACCTAGGGCTATACAAGAATAAATTGTATTGTATTGTATTGTATCAAGGCAAGCAGCGAACATCACTTCCGTGCTCCTTATAGGCAAAGTGGGTTAAGTGTTTTGCCCAAGGACAGCAGACATCAGTGGGAGTCGGTGGAGAAGGTTTTGTGGCGGGCTCGAACTCACAACCTTCAGGCTCAAAGGCCAATGCTCTACCAACTGAGCCATCGTCGCCCCTACTGATACATAAAAACAATGGATTATTATTTGGTTTTCTTTGACGAATTCATTTAAAAAAGTCACACATCCATTCACCGTACATGCTTTACCATCAATTTCATATGGATATTGTCAATATCAATAACAATTTATTATATTTATTTCGATAAAGTCTTCTTCTTGGAGGAGTCAAACAGTTCAAACACAGGAAATGCAATAATAACAAACACAAAGGAGTCATTGGTCATTAGGGGGCGAGACGATCACTGGCCAGAAATGTTAAAAATGTCCATACATGTCCTTAGACTCTCCTCCGTCTGCACAAAACCCAGTGAGAAAACTTTGGGGCGGCCAACATTGAGAAAGGGATCCACTCGCTATAGAAATAAAACGATCAAATATGAAGTAATAATAGCAAATTTGTGTGTGTTTTTTATTGTAATTTTAGGTAATGCTGAGATTTGTCGATGGGTCGAAGCCATTCAGACATGTTTCAAGAAATGTTGCATTATTTTCTCATTCTCGCATCTTTTTAAAATAAGACACATTTGCAAATCTCCCAGAATGTGCTCAAACTAAGATCATTTCTTGCCAAATTTGAGCAATTTTTGATTTATTTTTCATCACTTTATCCAGCGAAGGCTGTAATTAAAGCTTTATAAAGAACATGGAGAAAAACAAGGTTGCGGAATCACGCTTGCTGCTACAAACTAAAACATTTGCCAATTTAAAGGCCACCTCTGACCAACTTTTATAAACAGTCTGGACCTCTTAAAGTAAGTTTCTATATCGTGCTGCACAAGGTCAAGATAAGTCTCTAAATTCCCGCCAGAGCAGTGGGCAGCAGTTAGAAGTCTGCTTTCACAGTGATCAATAACATTTTTAGAGGAATCCGAGACCACAGGCTGCAGTCGGACTGTACCTTCACAGAGACACAAGGATCAGAACAGTCAGGATCAGAACAGTCAGGATCAGAACAGTCAGGATCAGAACAGTCAGGATCAGAACAGTCAGGATCAGAACAGTCAGGATCAGGAGCAAGGATGATGGAGAAACTAGTCTTACACCGTTTTCATGTTCTCCATGTATCTACTGCGCACATGAAGTAGTTTGAATAATAAATAAAACAATATATAGACTCTCTGTCTTTCTCTCTCTCCGGCCTCCCTCTCCTCTCTTGGTCTCTGTTGTTCAGTCTCCCTCACTCCCTCTCTCTCTGTCAATCTCAGTCTCTGTCTCTCTCTCTCAGTCTGTCTCTCTCTCTGTTTTTCTCTCTCTCAGGTCCCCCTCTCCTCTTTTGGTCTATCTCTTTCAGTTTCTCTGTCTTTCTCTTTCCCTCTCTCTCTCATTCCCTCTCTTTCTGTCTATCTCAGCGTCTGTCTCTCTCTCTCTCTCTGTCTTTCTCTGTCTCAGGTCCCCTCTCCTCTAATGGTCTCTCTCTTTCAGTCTCTCTCTCTCTCTCTCTCTTTCTATGTCTATCTCAGCGACTGTCTCTCTCTGTGTCTTTCTGTCTCAGGTGTCTCTCTTTCAGTTTCTCTCTCTCCCTCTGTCGCTCTCTCTCTCACACACACACTCCCTCTCTTTCTGTCTATCTCAGCGTCTCTCTCACTCCCTCCCTCCCTCT